TGAAAAAGAATGAGAAAATTTTAGAAAGAACCAGAAGCCCAAACCTAAACAGGAAACCATGTATAAATCTTTTCAGAAGATTGGTGGAGTGTTTGACCTGGACTATAGCCGAACCTCCTCCCTGAAATGCTTGTGTGAATGTTCGAAAGCACTTGAAAGCCAAGGTTTAGAAAATTTACTTCTTAGGCAGAAATTCTAACTCAATTGAAAAGACTTTGTCTCAAACTAAATAAAGCTTAATAAGCATTGAAACCTGCCAACTATATTTGATTCTCATCTATAACAGTGTGTAGATAGATTTCGATTAATTTGTTTTTTATGGATTATCAACATTTTGTAGGATATCTTAAAGCCGAAACATAATTTGAATTTTTTCAGAAATTTTTTTTCAGTGTGAAGTATTGAATATTGTATTCAAGCACTTTGGAGATAATAATGATTTTCCAGTACAAGTATTTTACTATTTAACCCATAGTTGGAGGGAAACGAGTTGGATCCAAACCTTTCCCTTTACTTTCGCGTAAGTGAATGCAACAAACCTGACTGGAATAAAATGTCGGATCTCTAATTTTTCATTCCGTTATCCATTACACCACTCACACATCCAAGCTTAGAACACCTGGTGTTCCCAAGCGGTCACTCATCTAGATAATGACCAAGCTCGACGTTGCTTATCTTCAGTTATCGAACAAAGCCTACCACTGTGTGGAAGCAATACTTATGTGAAATAGAATTATAAATTTGTGCACGTGACATAAATTGATATTATATAACGGTATATATTCTAGGTGCAGTGATGGATAGCGGCTTGGATTGAGGATTCGTAGAGCCGAGTTCGAATTTCACTCAAATCCATTATATTCATTTACATGCTAATACCCTTGGAAAAGATATGAATCCTCTTGTTCTTCCTCCTTCCCAGCTATGGGTAAATATCAGGACTGGACTCTATAGTCCTGGATGGCAACTGGTCTACCGTATAATGAAATGGCGGGAAAATTCTACCTCGTCAGTCATCGAAAGATACATGATCGCATAAGCATGGCACATAACTGTCTGATATATTCTCCAATGAATTGGGAAAGTATCAGGTCATCCCATAATTTCTGTCCGAATTTTGAATAAAGAAAACAAGTGACCAAATGTTAGATTTATTTACAGATTCAATCAACAATGTACTTTCCCTGATTTTCCATGACTTCCTTCCATTTATTAACAAGCTTACTAATTCCATTACTGTAAAATTCTTTTGGCTTTGATTCGAAGAACTCACAAATGTCAGTTTTAACCTCTTCCTGTGTTACAAAAGCTGTTTCTTCCAAATGATTCTGTAAGCTATGAAACAAATGGTAGTCTGAAGGAGCAAGATCGGGAGAATCAGGTGGATGAGGAATTTTCTCCCAACCGAGTTCTTCGATCTTTTGTAACGTGATTCTTGCTGTGTGGGGTCGCGCATTGTCCTGATGAAACATCACCACTTTTCGATTCACAAGAACAGGCCTTTTTTTCCTCAAAGCTTGGTTCAAACGCTCTAATTGTTGACAGTATATTTGAGCATTAATTGTTGCATTAGGTGGTAAGAATTCAAAGTGGATTATTCCTTGGCGATCCCACCAGATTGAAAGAAGAAGCTTTTGCCCATTAAGTTCTCTTCTCGGCTGTGGCTGGAGTCCTTCCACTTTACCAAGCCACAGCCTACGACACTTAACATTTCGATAAAATATCCATTTTTCGTCGCCAGTCACAAGTCTATCCAAAAAAGGTGAAACAAGTTGGCGAGAATGGGGAGAAGAGCAGATGTCAAGTCGGGATTTGAGGTTTATTCAGACAATTCATGAGGCATCCATTTTCCAAGTTTAGGAACTTTTCCAAGTTGTTGACGATGACGATGAACAATTGTATGGTTTGAACATATATATATATATATATATATATATATATATATATATATATATCTTAAGTGATTATATATATATAATTTATTGCCCGTATACAGTGAGCTTATCCTAATGAAAGTATGTTCTACTAGGATTTATTATTAGGGGACACAATCTTAATAACATAAGATACGTAGATTAAACCGTGCTGATAGCAGACTTAGAAAACTACAGAAACTTTAGATAAGTTACTAAAGGAAAGCGAGAAGAAAAGTTTAAGTTTCAACGGTAAAAAGACGGAAAATGTTGCACAAAAAATTTGAACGTCGACCCTCGTGCAAATTAATTGAAACAAAACCAATAATTCCGTTATTATTTACTTTTTCTTTTTTCGTATTTTCCCAATGAAACATGACCCAGTTCCCATATTAGTACTTTGTATGCCCATTCCACGAAGTCGTTCCTTGTAGATTGACCACAGATTCTCGATTGGATTTAAATCAGGAGAGTTTCCGACTCAGTCTATAGTACTTTGATTTGCTCACTGGTAAGGCTTACCAGAGGGTTCGTGCAGCGTCACAATTTCTTGGAATAACGTCCATTATAGAAAATGGCCGTAGGACAAATAATCGACAATCAAGACATTGTTAAGATATTGTCTGGGTGTAATAAAAATTTGATGAAATTACGGATGACACAATATTTTTCAAGATCAAACAAATTTCATCATACACACAGGAAATAGATTCATATTACTGCACACCATTGCAAATGACCTAATCTGTGGAAAAATAGAAATCTATTACACCTTGTCCGTTCAGTTGGTCTAAAATTGATCCTATGGTGAAAGAAAGGAAACTAAAAGTGTTGTTTCAATTAATTTGCACAAGGCTTTACATTGGAATATCGAAAAACGCATTTCAGAATCTAAAAATAATGTTTTTGTTCGAAAGCAAGAATACTTTAATTCTAACACCGATGCTTCTTTATATCAGTTTTTTTTTTTAACAGGAGTAGGTTTTCTGTTTAGCTTTGGCTCTCTCTAAAGTTTTCTCATTCTTTTTCTCTCCTTATTGCCCTTGGCGTCTTGTAGGCTTTATCGCCTTGCTAGGGGTGAATCGATCAACCAAGTGTGCAACTGGAAAGATGTAACGTTGTTGTGGAGAGGTTCAATTCCTGCGTGCGATGACGAATACAGGTGTCTGGATTTTCGGCCACATTCTCCTGCACTGCAGCAATGTTTTCAGTTGAACGGTGTAAACGAGCATGCAGTGGTGTTTTCTCATCTGTCACCGAACCATTTTGCTTGAATTTACGAACAATTGTTCCAACTGCTTGAAACGTTAACACGTTGTATGATTCTTAATCTTTCCATGGTTGAAACTGCCAAAGACATAAGAAAAAATGACGCTTAAACTTAATTCACATTTAAAATCGTTCCGAGTTATTTGAACACCATTTATTACAATATAAACAGGATAGTTAAAGTTTCAAGCAGTTGGAAAAATTGTTCGTATATAAAAAAAAAAAAAACTGGGTCGGTGGCAGATATGAAAACACCATTACATGCTCGTTTACGCTGATCCGTTGAAAACATTGCTGCAGTACACGAGAATGTGGCCGAAAATCCAGACACCTGTATTCGTCATCGCGAGCAGGAATTGAACCTCTCCACAACGTTACATCGTGTCCAGTTGCACTCTCGGTTACTCGATTATGTTGAGTAAAATAATCGCGAAGTGCGCTTCTGTTTGAACGTCCAATTCCGTAATAGGCTTCGATAACTTTAAAACACGTTCTTTGATTGTTAATCTTTCCATGGATGAAATTGCCAAAAACTTAAGTTGTTAAATCTGAAAGAAAAAGAAAAAAAATCATTAGACACTTAAACTTAATTCACATTTAAAATCGTTCCAAGTTATTGGAACAACCTTTATGAGCGTTAAACAGGGATTGTCGGAAAAAATAAAAAGAATTAGTTTTACCGAGAATTTGATATCCGAAACGATTGAACCGAAACGTCATTGTTATTCCCAAAAAATGTTATTCTTAGAATTCAAAATAAGTTCCGGTTTTAATTCATTTACAAGCGGTTGTTAAGCCGTGTAAACCAATTCAATCAATCGATCGATCGATCTTTTCTTTTTATGTGCCATGTTCTTTCAGGACGTAGACGATCATGGCTCTCCACCTCCCTCTATCCCTTGCTGTTCCTTCCCACTGCATCCTCACACAGACCACGTTCTGTCATCCATTTACTTAAGCCCGCCTGGTATGTCACGCGTTGTTTTCCCTTGTCTCTCTTTCCCTCTATTCAACCCATGAGTATCAGATTGTCCAGGCCCTCCTTCCACATTATATGTCCCAGAAACTTCAGCAGCCCCTTCATGAGGTTAAGTATCAGCCTCTTCCTTGTTTTCATCCTCTCTAAGACCTCATTGTTGCTCACACGCTCGGTTCATCTAATCCTTAGCATCCTTCTGTAGAACCACATCGCTGTCGCCTAGAGTCTCTTCTTCATCTTTCAGGAAATCGTCCAACATTCAGGTAACAGTTCAGTATTCTTTTTTTTTTCTGTTAACAAAGAAATTCTCTGCTAAGCTTTCCTTGGTCATCCCAATACATCTTCGGATCTCAGTGTCGCACTTACCGTCCTCTCTCAAGACGCTTCCCAGATATTTAAACTTCCGCGTCAAACTTTTCATTGGACTTATCCAGTAAGTACCTGATTCCCTCTGCTATACTCTATCTTGAAAAGAGCTAGAACAGATCAACAAAGGGACTATTGCTTCTATGTTTAAACTGATGCTGCCCAATCCACAATGCCCAGATTTGGCCGAGTTCAAAAGCTCCTATGCGGCTTTGTGGGTGATGAACTATACACCACCCTGTATCGTTGCCAGCCTTTCACTAATATACTCGCTATAACTATGGCAGATGTTCGAACGAGTTACATTCATTAGTTCCACCAACTCAGAGCTTCACAGCTTGGAGCCGCCATGACAAGTTCACGGTAGCAATACATCCCAATTTCCACTTTGACAGCTTTGTGAAATAAACTCCCTAGAGAGTGCTCCTCTGTCAACTACAATCTTGATATCCTTAAGTTCTGAGCCAACTGGTTTACGGCCATATCACGTTGAAACACCAGTTACAGTTCACCGAAGTAAAGCAATATCGATCCTGATCAGTACCTAGATGGGTGACCGCTTAGAAATACCAGGTGTTGCAAGCCTTGATGTGCGGGTGGTGTAATGGATAACGGCGCTTGGATTAATTGGTGTAATGGATAACGGTGCTTGGTTAATTAGAGAGATGAATTCCAATTTCAGTCGGATTTATTATATTCACTAACGTGAAAATAATTTTGAGAATCGACTCTAGGTTAAATAGTAGGAATTGCCGTCAGCAAATCATTAATATCTAAAAATATTTTCTGGCTTTAAATATTGATTTTTTTTAAGCCCGGCATCGATGTGGCACAAGGCCGAAAGTATGGGGCACCCAGTGAGGATCGTAAGTGATCTAGCAAGACTTTATAGCCATTACATCACGTCACGGTGCCCTATTCTGGCTTTAAATAGCCTGTAAAAATTTGGTAAGCCGTACAAATCAATCAATCAAGGGTCAACCGATATCTATCCTACTCTTTCTCCTAATATTCTCTTACTTCTACCTTTCCATTCACTCAGTAATCTTCTACCTTGAGTGACTCTTGGGCTTTTTATTGGGTAATGCATCAGCAAAAAATAATAACTTCGGTTAAACTATGTATATTTTGATATCTCGAAAGCTTTTGACATGGCTCTTCACAAATTCGAAGACAAATTTTTTTGAACTGATCCAGTTTTTCTTGTCAAATCGTGAAATGAATGTTATTCTGAATGGCCACTCTTCCACATCTTTTCGTATTAATGCAGGTGTCCCCCAAGGCTCTCTCCTTGGACCTACTTTTCAGTAATGACCTTTTCGGTAGTATCAGCTCTCTATTTGGTATCGATGTTGATGATACAACCACTTACTCCTGTCTCAGTATGGTCCGACCGGATCGATAAGGTCAAATTGGCGAATGAAAACATTGTTAAATGGGGCAAAGGATGCTTTGTTAATTTTAACACCTCCAACAGTAGGCTGCACTCTCTTAATCATCTGAGAGACCTCTTTCTGCTAACCTCCAGGAGAATGACTAGTTGCGACTTCTCGGGCTAACATTCTCGCCTGACATGAAGTGGAAAGATTATATTGAATCCATAGCTAAGTCAGCTGCTAAGAAACTTCGTTCACTGTGTCGTGCTAGACATCTTAAATTCATCCATACTTAGAATATTGCTGCCCGGTGCTCTTGCTATATATCTAGAAATCCTTGATAAAATCCAAAGAAGAATCAGCAATATCAATGGTCCTGATCTAACATCTCGGCTTCAGTCACATCCCTACCGCCGTAAAATTGCCTCTTTGTGTCTTTTTTATAAATACTTTCATAGTATTTGTTCGGATGAGCTCTTCGCTATGGTACTTAGATTTTCGCTATGGTACTTAGATTTTATGAATTTATGCACGATACTAGATTTGCAACCGTGTTTTATTGATATACAATTTAGTTTGCTAGATGTAACCATAAGTTGTATGCTAACAGTTTCTTTTCTCACACTTCTCGCTTGTGGAACTCCCTTCCGGCTCCATGCTTTCCAGTCAACAATAATGTTCAAAACTTTTAATGGAATGGCAGTCGATATCTACTCTTCTCTTCCTCTTGTGTATAAGTGGCTTTAATGCTTGGGGTGAACTTGATTTTTTATATATATATATATATATATATATATATATATACGTCCTCTTCTCTTCATCTGTACTCATTCCTTAGTGGTGTTTCTGTTTTTTAATTATTCCACACTCAATTTCCTCTTGTGTATAAGTGGCTTTAATGCTTGGGGTGAACTTGATTTTATATATATATATATATATATAACAAGAAATTGACTTTATATTTATATATATAAAACAACAACGTGTACTAGAATTATTTACATTGTTTGGACTGTTGTCCTCATCTTTATTGTCCTGTTCACAAGGTTTCGCCCGTTTACGCTCCAGCCTTCTTCAGGTGATTGGAATTTCATCCACCGCGGTAGAATGTTCTAGTTTCACGTGCCATGCCTCTTCCGGGTGTTTCAGTCATCTCCTTTTAACTGAATATCCAAGTTTTTGTTCACCACTGCAAAAGCCAGGTATTGAACTCAAAACTCTTTGGCTCAAGTCACTGGATCTAACCAACGCTCTTATCCACTATGTCATGTGTCCTTGAGGACATCAGTGTATGACTTTTGGGGACTTATAAACCTAATGTCTCCGTAATCATTTTTACCAGAGCTCATATTGCAATTTTGCTGTTATTATTGCTTTTCCCTAATACTATGAATTACTGGTTTCCATATTGTATTCATTTCTATGCTTGACCGAGTTAGGAGGTTTTGTGGCCTAGCTGAAGAAGGCTGCAGCGTACAACAACGTGAATGTGGCAATAAAGATGAGGACAATAGTCCGAACAATGTAAATAATGTAAATAATTACAATATCTCATCTCAGAAATATAGACAGAGGTACCAGAATAACTTGCAATTTTAACATCAGTTCTTGAATGAAGAAAAGAGATCTACCACATCGTGGGCTTGTCTCTGACAGTGGACAAGAGAGTAAATGTAATGGTGAGTAAAAAATTAGAGAAATACTAGAATTTTACTCGGTAGATGTGGAATCTATAGAATACATCTATAAACAATAAAAGAATGAAATAATAATAATAATCTATATAATACTTGCGGATGTCAGTGTGTCACATTTTTTGAACTTTACTTCTAGAGGCCGTAGCACAATATATCATACCATTTTTGAATCAGGCCAAAAACATTCTGGGCCGGATCTGAAACCGCAATCCTGAAATTTTGGATTCTCTGCGATTGTGTTCTGATTCCGCCATCTTGGCTCACTATTGATAAAAAAACAATTAAAGGGACACAACTCTCTAAATTTCAATAGAATGTCTTACCTAAAATTTTGGATTCTCAAGTTTTCATTACTGCGACTGTTTTCGGCGATTTTATGTGATTTTTTGCGACACATTTTTTGTACGATAAAAAAAAATTATAACTTGGAAGTAAATTTGGGAATAATCGAAATTTATTGCGAAATCCAGCAAAAGTCGTCCGTGAAATAAAAATAATTGTTTGTACGGAACGTAAGGATATACGTACATAAAGTAATTGTTAAATGCAGCGATCAATTTTGAGCTCTCTAGTTTATTGTTGCCTATCACATATGACAGCAGTATTGCCTTACAAAAAGAAATCTCCGCCAACAGAGGACCAGATTGCAATCAAAAGAGCCAAAGCTGCAGCGAGGAAAAGAAAGTCCCATGAAAGTGAAAACCCCGATCAAACGGCAGCTAGGTGAGCTTTCAATGCTGAGAATATGCAAAAACTCTCAAAACACTAAACAAGCCAAAGGCAAGTGCTCTCCCCCACAGGTGCTAGCTTAAATTCTGCCCGATAGGGCGACTTTTAAGCTAGTAATAATAATATTGCAACACTATAAGAAGAGTACGATTTTTGAAAACAAAAGACAAGGTATAACAATATTTCGACCTTATGTCTGTCTTCTTCAAGTTATGCTAAAAATTTGCATACAGCTATGAAAAATATTTTAAAAAATACAACTATTTCTGCAAACGTCGATTGTCTTGAGAAAAACGGTTGTACTGGTAATCAACGTGATAAAGCGAAGGAAACAAAGCCAGCGGGAAGGGAATGAAACATGAGTTTCTTGTCTATGGGGAATTTGATAATAATAATAATAATAATAATAATAATAATAATAATAATAATAATAATAATAACAACAGAAATTGTCATTTTAATCTCTAATGGTAAAATATTAATAAAACGCTTTTGCATTTTATCGTCCTTTAGACGACTACCGTACATACTCGTGTATAAGTCGACTTCGTCTACAGTGCGAATTCTCAATTTTTTGCATGACTCCAGAAATTTTTTACCTGTTTATATTTCAACAGGTTACCAAAAATACCTGATTTATAACCTCTTCAAAAAATATTACCTGTGTATAATGCGCCCCGTATATGTGGTGTAAAATTCTGGTCATAAAATATCGCAATATACTCGCGTATATACGCTAATATAAACAATTAGAAAAATAAAAAAGCGATTGTTTTACCACGTTATAATCATAGATTTTACAATATCAGGAATGTACTGGCTTTTGAAAGTATATTTTATTTATGGCCGAAGGAGGATGTTGGGGTGTCAGGTTTTTTGAAAGTAAGAAAGATATTCTAAAATGAAGCCCGCCCAGGGGTTGGCGTTTGGTTAGTTAATGATAATAATTACGGCACATTTAACAGAACAAAACCGTCAACAATAGACAATACGTAAGTAATCGGTCTCGTGTCTGCTCCAATTTAGTACCACTTCACTAACTGAACAATGGAAGGTAACCTGCGCCGGGCAACGAATTTTACTCGCCTCTTTCATGCCAAGTTCACAAATGAAACGACCTATTTAGCTGACAGGAGATCGGTAAAACTCAATAACAGTTGGATCTGCAGTTTTGGTCCGATTAACTTTTGAAGATAGTCATGTACACATTTTACTGCTAAAATTACCTACATACAAGTAAGAAAGTATACGTGATTAATTGATTCGTTCATTTTCAACGGTTTATTAATCCTTTGAAGGTTATTTAAAGACAGAAAACATTTTTAGAGTGTAAGAATCTTTTGGGCATAATAATTATTTACTGATAAAGTCCTACTAATTTTATCCATAGCCATTATTCATTATACTACCGGCACATCCAAGTATTCCCAAGTAGTCACCCATCTTGTCTTGATGTTGCTTAACTTCGATGATCGTACGAAAACCGGTGTTTCAAAGTGATATAGCCGTGAGCCTAGCATTCTTAAAGAGTCGTAACAATTCACAGATAATAATAGTATATAGAAGTAGCTTATCACGTCTTCTATTCAGATTTGTTGATAATAAAAATTGAGAACTTTGAAATGCCAATTATTCTATTTGATCCCACCTCTTCAACATAAGATGATCCAAGATTTGGTGATAATGAAAACTGAGAACTTTGGAATGCCAATTAATTATTCTCAACATAAGATGATTGATTTGTTGATAATGAAAATGAGAACCTCTTCAACATAAGATGAT